GTCTTATCCTTAATACACAGAATATACAATAGAAGTTTTCGTTACTGTACTAATAAAATTGTGTCAATCACTATTACGTTTTAAAACAAAATATCTCAATATCACATCAGTACTGTAAGTAATATTTAAATACTTCATTTATCAGAATTTTATCATATAAATTTATTTATAATACCATAATGCACTTAAAATTGAAAATAAATATATCGATTTTATTTCAATTTTGTTCTTTCCAGATTTTAATACCTCCAATAAGAAGTAAAGAAATAACAATTTCCATAAAGAGCTGAAACAAAAAAATCACGTTGTTACCCAAAATCTGGATTAAACGTGTCAGTCCTTAAAGCTGTTTAATCTAGCTGCCACCACACTACGATCAAATGAGGCTACTTCGTTTAGGCTACCAGTGAAAAAGGTAACTAAAATTTTAGAAAATTAACCCGCAAAACTTTAACCACTGATCGATCACGTAATCCGTTTGTGCTTTATATCGTAGGCTCAATCCGAAAGTAAGTTATCGTTTTGTCCACAATATTAGTTTGAAATAAAAACAAGAAACAAAGGTATTCTTTTACGCCTTTTCAGTATTACTAGAATCCTTCAAAAACTTCGGTTATCTTTCAGTTACTGAGGGTTTCAAGCTGACATACTGAACAATAAGCTTTACTGTTCATGAATGTTAACACTTCTTGAAACTCATATGATAAGTTTGAGTTGATTTGACAAGAGAAACATATAAAAATCTCTTTTATGTTGTTTTTTTCCATCAGATTTTACTGGGTTTTTTCTTTCGTACTTGTTTTTGATGCTTCTTACACATTGTTAGTCGATGTTTATAAACTTTTCTTCTAAACCTTAAGTTTCTTGCTTCGTATTTAGCTGCGAGTACTTCGCTTTTGTTAATAATATGTTGAATTTTATCCAAGAAAATCAAAATAAGACTAAAATGTTCACTCCAGTTTACATCGTATTTATGAGCTTTCATAAAACTTCTTTTGGTCTTGGTCTTCACGCGTTAGAAAGAAAAATATATTTTACGATATTGCTTTGAAACTATAAACGAAAAGTAAAAGTTTCCAAATGAAACTTTATCTTTGAATGAAGAAATGAAATTTGAATATCCTTCCAAATAAGATGTACGCGAAGCTCGTTTCTATTTTTGGGACATAATAAATTTGATATTGAATATTGTAATTTATAAATAACAGTCTATTTTCCACATGTTTTCTAAAGAGTTGTTTTCTAGGTTTGTAATAAATAATATGATAACTCCTGGAGAAGTAATGTTTCTTACGTATATTTCGTGTATTATTGAGAGTGGAAGAAAATTTTCCAGGAGTACAAACATTTGATATGTAAAATTTTAATTAATTTATAATTTCCACTCAAACGCTTATATTGGAAAAGAGACACTGATATTTGATATAACATATTTATGTTGTTTAAGTCTTTATTATTGTTTATTATTAAAAAGTAACGTTAGTTGTTGTTTTTTAAGCACTATAATGCAGCCTTGTGGTAGAACTCTGTTTTTCCCAATTGGCAAGCCCACTTTGGATCCATGCTAAAGCACAAAATATTCTCTCCACTTTAAGCTGTAGGTGCATTTTAAGAAGGCCAGTCAATCCCTTAGCGTGGATGGTTGGTGATAATATTCTGCCGACTGGTTGCTGTCTGGATGGGTGCGCGACTATGGGGGGTCAGGTTCTATTCAAACCTCTTCCTCCCATGCCGACTGGTTGTCTTACTTCTGGTCATTAGTTCAAAATTAGAAACGGCGGTATATAGCCTTAGTAGCTTTGCAATAAATACAAAATACCAATATTAACGTATTAAAATATTAACTGATCTAATTATACATGTTTTAAAGATAAACTAAATATGTATCATGAATTTCTGAAGGATGAAATATTATACAGAAATGTATTTGCGATATTTATTATGTGCAATCACGTGGAGTGATATAGTTTTCGATTAATAATAGATACAAACTAGATGTGTTCATTTTAAGTTTGAATTATAAACATGCTATTGAGATTCAATCAACAATAAAAAACAAATAATATGTAGAATTATTGACAGACGTTTTTCTATGTTAAAATACTTTTATTGCGAGCTTTCGGCTCTCTTACCGGAGCCTTCATAAGGCATGTGTTGTCGATGAAGGTTCCAATAAGAGGGCGAAAAGCTCGCAATAAAAGTATTTTAACGTCCATTAAAGTCCATTTATAATTCTACATATTAATTTACCTATTTTATGAGTCTTAAACAACAAACAAATAATTTCAAGATACATGTTAATAATGTTTATAACTTATTGTACTTAAACTTTTTACCGATAACGTACTTCAAAGAAGTGAAAATTAAATATCTTTATATTTTCACTGATCTATCTTATGCGTAAAAATAATTGTTTTGTTTAACTAAAGAATGTCATGAATTATATAACTTTAATTAAGTCAAACGATAAAGTAGTACTATAATCAAAACAAAAGTCGTTTATATGGTAAAGTTCTTGTGTGTCACGATTATAGGAATTTCTTACTGTTTTAAGTGTATTGTCATTTTAGACTCCATTGTCCCATCCAAACTATTTGTCATTCTGCTGTTTTCAGAAAAAGTCTTGACAATTTCTAAACCTGCATTAAATAGTTTTTGTTTCAACACCTCTACGTAGAGTACTCTTTCGTCATTCTAATAAAGTTATCCGAGACATAAGTTAATTAATGTTCTTCTAATATACTTGTTATATAAAGACCGCAAATCTGACGTTCTATTGAAAGACCCAAAAATTGAGTCTGACAGCTAAGCCTTTCTATGGCAGTAGCTTTATATCTATAGTACTTTGGAGTCGATTTTTCCAGCTTCTAGTTTAGATATTCATCAAATGCTAATGAAGATCCAAATTAGTTACTCGAAAAGTCTTCAAGTAATTCGACAACTGGGAAAAGCTTGTTACTTCATCAAATCAGTATACACCACCTTAAACTTCTACTGAACAAAATATCTCATACTAGATGAACAAAAAGATATGAGCACATTCAAGTTGTTATTAGCTTCCTCGGTAAGATATGTATAGAAATATATTTAATATGCTGCACTTAAGCAGAGTGGCTTTGATAGAGCCTTACCTTTAAGAATAAAGTTTAAAGTGGTATTTTAATACCTCCAGCTTTACAAGTTATAATGGTTTATAATCCAGAAAACTGAGATAGTTGAACCTTTTGCTATTTTTGCTGTAAAAATCACACTGTATATAACATCTGCTAAATTCGTAGTTAACGAAAGTTACTATGAACGATGTAAAATGTAGTAATAAAGATCATACATCAAATTTTTGTGCTAAATTCTAACTAACAATATTTAGTATTAACGATTTAAAATCTGATGGTAAAAATCACTTTGTAAGAAACAACAACTTTCTGTTTTAAAGCTAACTAACAATACTGATTACTAAAAGTATGAAATGAGGTTGTAAGATCATATTGTATTTAACATTAGTAGCTATCCCCGCATTTGTGCGCCCAAAGGATGCCGCCTCAGTAGAGGTCGCCAGACAATAAGGAGGGGGGGAGCATTGTTAGGGGACACGTTGCTAGACCGCCATGACAGGTAGCCATGACGTCATAGTTCCACGAAGGGGATCAACATGTCTCAACATGACTAAAATTTAATACAGTCGATG